TTATGCAGTCTGGTTGAGTCCAGTGACATCACTATGGTCGTGTCAGTGTCTTGGTAGTAGTGTCTTGGTTGATAAGGTAAATAAGAGAAGTTCATAGGCATTCCTAATTATTCCAAATCAAGGCATTTTTCATAATTGTCTTTTCGAGGTTATGAAATTATTTATGTGTGAAACAGTAAGTATGTTTATTAAGTGCATCCGAATTTTGAATTAATCTGTGTGATTATGATGATTTTGGATCGATTTTAGTTTTGTGATTATCTATAGATTGTTCAAATTCTTTTTGTATGTTGATTTAGTGTTAGAGGTGAGCGAGTTATTGAATTGTGTAGATGAAGTAACTTGGTTGTTTAAATCGGTTGGTAATAAGTAACATGTGTAAGATATTCAGATCGATGAGTTCAATGGTTTTAGAAGGATTTTTGGGTTCTTATTGGACCGTAAAATTTAATTTTGCAGTGAGATTTGTTAATTAACTCTGGTGTATTGTGTTTTTCGTTAAGTGACATCGAAGGGATTAGAAGAATTGAAATTTGGTTTGTAAAATTCGTTGGATCATGGTTTCTTTGGACAAGTGTTTCTTGAATGGTGTATCCAAGAAGAAGGTTAGTGGTTAGTGCTTGGTTAGCGACATCTCTCGTGTTGATTATGAAGGAGGATTGTGTAAAGCGTAAGTGCGTTGACTATCATTAATGGAACAAGATTGTGATCTTGAATAGATACTGTCACCAAGGATTGATGTCTTGTTTGGTTAAGTTTTGAGGAGTTAAGATTTTGTCAAAGATTAATTTGTGATCGAGTTGTTAGCAATTAATGGTTTGTGAGTTTTATATGAAGGAAATTTCTTTTCGACACACTAAAGTTGTTATGAGTTATTGGTAATGTCGTTTAATTTGGCGAATATTCTTATTGTTTTGAGAGTTTGATGAGTTAAATGTTTCATCCGTAATTCGCCTAGTTCTTACCGTTGTGAAAGGTCATCTTGTATGCTTTTATACCAAAGAGGAGAGTGATCGTGTCTCTGAGATGTTATTCGGGTTCATGCCAAAAGTAGTTAGATATAGAGTTATGTATTGTGAGTTTTGGTTTTGAGGAATGGCTTTTATGGGTCGTGATGTTGTAGGTAAAGGTAACCATGTTATTTTGATTGAGGTTTAAGTTGTTGTGAATTGGAGTTCGTTGAGGAGTGCTAGTAAGGCTTACAGATGTTGTGTTTGGCTGGTTTCATCATTAAGTTGTTAAAGAGTTTTTTGTTATTGTTTCTTCTTTGTTGAATTTGCTTTGAATGATTTGCCTAGTTTGAGTGAACTGAAGTTCATTGTTGTTTCAGTTGAATTTGGAAGACTTTCGTGATTTTTTATGATATTCGATTGAGTTTTTGTTATATATTAATGTTAGATGGTAAGACAATTATATGTTTTTAAGACGGGTGAGGTTATACAAGTGTAATTATCCGATGTATATTATTAGGTTATTTGTTGTCGAGTTTTTGAAGGATTGTGAATGTTGGATTGCGTATCGTTTGGAAAATCTGTGATTATTGCTAATGTTATAAGTTAAAGTCAATGTAAGAGTTGAGTGCTTCATTGTTGGGTTGAGTATCCAGGTGGTGCTGTATGGTTCATTGATTTTTGGTTTGATTGAAATTGTAGCATTGTGTTTAGTGTTTGGAATAAGTTGTTTTGGATTTTGTTATTCAAGATATTTCTAGGGTTCGAGAGATTTTTTCAGAGTGGCATAGAGGAAGCATGGTAGTTTGAACTGAGTTATGCGTTGTCGAGATCGAGTATCTACATGGTGTTTCATTTTGACAGTTCTAGATTGTAATTTATGTTTGTGACAAGGTTCAGGTAATGGTTGTAAGAAGCTTTGGGTTTGATGAAATCCTTGATGTAGTTTATGTCTCATTGATTGATGGTTAGTTCAGACTCATATGGCTAGAGGTGATGTATTTCGTTGTTTTGGTGCAAGCGTTAGTGGATGAAGTGTTGTTGATGTAATTTGATTTGCAAGGTTGATATTAAGTGCAGTTGTTTCTCAGGCTAGTTAAGGTTGTGTTTGATTGTCGGTAATCGTATGTCAATTTGTAGAGTGGTGAGATTTCATGTTGGGTTAGTGGTTTTGTTCCAGAAGGTTTTGTTGTGGAAAATGGTTTTGAGATGGAATTTGTGGGATAAAATCTAGTTAGTGGTTTACTAATTTTATGAGATTTTTGTGTGTATTCGTCTTGTTGCTCAGTGTCTATGTCGGTATTTTGAGCTGGGTTATGTCTATGATATATCTCTGTGTTGATGATTAGGAAGATTTGTTTTTATTATTTGTGTGATTGTCATTGTTTTGGTCTTCGTATTTGTTTCCTTAAGTTAATTTCGAGGACGAAATTATTTTTAGGGGAGAGAGTTGTAACATCTCAAAATCCGGATTAGTTGATTCAGGCTTATAATCGAGTAATTTTCGTGATTTCCGATAAAAATATTATTTTCTAATTTTGAAGTGTGGAATATTTCTAAAATATTTCCAAATGATTTTTGAATATTAATAAGTTCAATTGAATTATTTAAGTGACTAAATTATACTATTTTTAAATAAGACAATTGGGTGACTAAATCGAATGGTTTCAAAATCTAAAAAATCTATAAAGCAATTTCACTAAGGTTGTGATTGTTCTCTTTTCATCCAATTTCACTGTTTTCTTTCATCCTTATCTATGAATTATTTTATTTTATTAATCAAAAGTTAGTTTTAAGTTCCACCTTTTATCATTCACGTTTTGTGCAACCCAAAAATTCTCTCTCTATTTCTTTGATTTTCCTTCTCATGCCTAAAATCTTCCTCTTTCGAATGCCCATCTCCTTCGCTGATTTTTATTCACTTTTGATCATCTCTTTCTAAATTTTAAAATCTTTCCATCTTCTTTAATCCTCATTTTTGGCCGATTCTTCCTAGAGATCTCTTAGACTTCTTCTTCAACTTCATATTTCATCTTTTTCATATTATCTCCTTCCATTTCTAGCAAGGTAAGCTTATTTCCTTTGTTTTCTTGAAGCTTTTCTGATTAAAAGATTTTTTATATCAATGGGTAGTACATGATTTCGTAAGTGATTAGTAATATTTCATTTGGGGTTGTTTTTCGGAATAAATAAAAGGGATATTTTCTTGATCTTATTTCTATCGACTCTTTATGGATTTAAGATGTTTAAAGGTTGATTATAATGATAACAAAACAGTTTTTCAATTGGATTTGATTTCCATTTTGATTTGAGCAAGAAAATATGATTTTAGTACTTTTTGGAAATCCGAGAATGTTTCTGTTAGCTGCTGTTTTTGGGAGATTTATTGGGTTCTAAATCAAGTTTAGGATCAACTTAGGTGTGAGGAAGCAAAGATTCTCAAGTTAGAATGTTTAGATCGTGTGGATGGTAAGGTTTTTTGGTTCTTTATTCGATTTTCGTTCGATTTTAGAAGCATAATTTTCTTTTCTGTTTTGGAGGATTTTTGTGACATTTTGAATTGATTTCTAAGGTGCCTAATGTGTTTATGTTTGAGGAAAAATGGTGCATCAATAGTTGGTGGTCATTTAGTTAGCGTTTGGGGTCGGATCGTATGATTTCGCCATTGAGGCTAGTGGCTGTCCATTTACTCGTGATGAATTTGCTTAATGTTGAATGAAGGTTTAATGTGTGAACTTTAAATCTAAGGTTCTAAACTTGTTTACTTGTTGTATATAATTAATGATTTGAATCCATGATGTTTGATTTAAGTAAGTGATTATAAAGAGCATGTATTTTATGACATGATTTGTGGCATTGAAAGAATATGATTTATGCAAGCATGTGTAATATGATAAGTTGATCACGAGTTGTTGTGTATTGGAATTAAGTGATCTTTGAAAGCATGTATATTTAAGCATGTTAATTGGGAGCTATGATGAATTGAAGGTGAGTGGTTATTGCAAGCATGTATATAGAAGCATGATTTATTATGAGTTATGAAGCATGAGATATAAGTGGTCATTGTGAATGTACATGTATCATGATGAGTTGGTTATGAATTATGATGCACAGAAATAATGTGATTTATGGAAGATGAATTGGATATGTGATATGATTTATGATATGTGAAATGTATAAGTTACATTCGATGCATAACTGATTTGGAAAAGTATGTTTCAAACCTATGTTTAGCTTAGGGAAGAGTAGAGACACTTTACTATCCATGGACGAGTGGAGACAGTTCGTTGTCCAAGAATGAGTGGAAATATTTCACTATTCTATTTGGGTTGTTCATGACAACCATCCTTAGTTTGCAAAACTACGTTTAAGAATATATACATATATATATATATATATATATATATATAATATATATATATATATATATATGTTATACATTGCTTGTTAACTACTTATGGTGATCTTGGATTGATTGACAATTTGTTCTTAATGGGACGTTTGGATATGAAAGGCATGTCTAGGAAAGAGTACTCTATGTTTTTGGTAAGTATATGTGTAAGGGTAACGAGGTTAGGTTGGTACTTTGAGCTTTGCTCCGAGAAGTTATACGAGGTAAGGTTGGTGCTTTGAGCTTTGCTCCGAAATTTGGAAGCTGGGACCAATGTGAGTCCAAAATAAAAGGAGTGATATGGAGTTCGTTTATCCAATGAGTAGTTGTGTTTTGAACAAATTCCATTGATCTTATATGGAAACAAATGTGTGTTGTGCGTGGACATTCCAAGCAAGGTAATTGTGCATGAGTGTATGTGATTGACAGCAGTGAATATGTTGTATTTAAGCATGTTTATATTTCGTAATTTGTGTGGAATTATGGTGCATTAGATGAACATTGAAGCATGACATTATAGTATGATCATTGGGGTAAAAACAAGTGAGGTTCCATGGTATATAGGTTGTTTTCCTTTAACCTTGACATGTGCATCATACTTGAATGTTTAGTCATTCACTGAGTTTTCCAGCTTACACTCATTGTTTAACATTTTTCAGATTATCGCTTGTTGATTTGAGATTGAGAGGCAAAGAGATCAAAGCAAGGAGGCATTTGTAAAGTTATTTTGAACCTTGATTTCATTTTCAGGCACATTTGGATATGTGTTGGCTTGTGCGTTCGCTACTTGTTAGTGTACAAGTGACCTTTAATGACCTATGTTGAACTTTGATCATTGAATATGTGATAAAATGATAAAAGATGATGTTGAATTACATGTTATGCAATATGTTTAAGTATGCCTTAGGAGACTAAATGATGTTATATGATTTAATTAAGTGTTTATATTATTTAGGCAAGTGAGAATAAGTGAATATAACATGTTAGGCCTTTAGGATGCATGAAATGACCAATGATGCACAAAATGGTTAGGTGACTTATGTTTAAGTTGACTTTCTATGCAAAATTTGATTTTGGATTGCTAAATACTTGTTTGTTATGCTAAATGATGTTATAGAGCAAGCAACATATGTACTATGACATGTTCTAAGTGGTTTAAGCGTCTCCATGTATGTTCGTAGACCCTAGGGTCGATTGCATGACCAATTGGATGCATGTTCCTGCTCATTAATATGCATTTTCTACATTTTTCAGAAAAAAAGATCGATCCCTTTTCTAAAGGATCGATCTCTAGCTCCATTTTTAGCTTCTATTTTGCAAAGGATCGATCCCTTCATTTCGATCTCGATAAAAATAGGTAAAATTTCCTTCATTAAAGTCCTAAAGTGTTCCCCAAGTCCATGGATGTCCCTAAACTTTAAAATATATTCAATTTGTCCAGAAACTTGATTTTACAGTTAATGATTCATTTTAAGTTGGATTTGGTTGAAATTTGTTCGACTCTATAATATCACTAATTTCATAATGGAACTTTCAATTTCATGTTTTTTGCTTTATTTTCATATTTGGAAAAGTTTACGTTTTAGTCTCTAAATTTGGCATGTTTAGTCAAGTCCCTAAACGATGTCCGATTAAGCTCAAATTTTACTTTGATTAATTAAAGGATAGAAATGCATTGTTAAGTTTAAATTTCTATTCGCCATGGATTTTATAATGACATGTGAAATGACTATTTTACCCCTGCATAATTAATATCATTTATCTTATGATGCATGTTATATGATTGTCGTAAGCATGATTATGTTATATAACATTGTCATGTATTGCATGACGAATGTTTATTTTTAATTTCTTTCGTTTAGTACGCATGATTAGGGCTTTTGTTCTGTCCAACAAGTTTGAAATCTAATGTACGCTCAGGTATCTCAAGTTAATCTTCGTAACCAGGTATGGGGTGTTACATTCATCTCCACACAGATCTTTGCAAATGATAATCTATTCTTCGGGTAGTGAGCTCGTGCATATACAGCGGAGTTCCAAGAACACTAGATATATAACTCATCCTTAAACTAGTGAACAACTCTAAAGGAATGCGATTAAGATGAACCCAGACAGGAATGATATCCATATTAAATTCCAAAGACTGCATATTAGGTTCTCATCTCCTCAAGATAATCAGTTTGTTAAAGATATGCCACGGTCCATTCGAAAGCACTCACGAGCAGTTGCCTCCAGTTCATCCGGCTTGAACTCGCTCCATTCTCCAAAATCATTCACGAAACAATAACAAGGAAATAGAAACAAAATCGACGAGAATGGTCAAAGAAACCAAAAACCTCCGGTGATCAAAAGATCCGCTATCGTGTACCGAGAGCTTTTTCCTAAACATGAGCCATTCTCAAAATTCATTTTGTCATTTCTTGAAATTTTATTTGTCATTTTTGTTTAAACACTCAATTCACCTCTCTTGAATCAGTATTAATTATTTTTATTTTATTTATAATTATATTTAAATGTAGGTGATGGGAACATAATTTGCATGCGTATTAGTTTCAAAATTTGGATTTTCATATGAGGGTATGTTTGTTTCCCGTAATTCGAATTACGGAATTGGTTTTCCCCGAATTCCAGTGTTTGTTTCACGTAATTCGTTTTCCGAAAATGTTTTCCCGTGTTTGTTCACGTAATTCGTTTTCCGGAAAACGTTTTCCCGTGTTTGTTTCACGTAATTCGTTTTCCGGAATGTAATTCATTTTCCTAGTAACAGGATTTCCTTGTGTTTTTGTAAATGACTTACGGATTCATTTTCGTAAGTCATTTTCTGAACTTTTCACTTCAAAGCAAAATACTCAAATAATTTTATTTATGAATTTATATATAAATATTTTAATATCATTTCATCAAAATATTAATTATTAAAATATTAAAATATAAAATAATCAATTATATTATAATTAAATATAAGAATATTTTATTTTATTTTATAATATAATAAATTTTTTATATATTAATAATGAATAATATTTATATATTTCAATAATATTTTAGTAAGATATTTAAAATATACTAATAATATTTTAAAATAAATATAGCATTATTACTTTAATAAATAATGTTTTAAATAATATTATTTATTATATTTAAATTTGTAATAAATAATTTTTAAAAACTCTTCAACTAGTGAAAAATGTTTAAATATCTTCCAAACATCATAAACGTTTTTCAGATGTTTTCCAGAAATGTAATTCATTTTCCAGAAATGTAATTCATTTTCCAGAATTCAAATTCTAGTAATTCATTTTCCAGTAATTCAAATTCCAGTAATTCAAACTCCAGTAATTCATTTTCCGGAAAACCAATTACAGCCAAACAAACAGACCCTAAATACATTTATATGTAGGTAATTGACGTATATTTACATGTCAATAATATCTATAAACAATATGTAAAGGAATATTGACAAAACAAAGTGGTAGTCTAAAATATACTGATAACAATACGTACTGATACTAGAGGAAAAAAATAATATGTTTGTTTTAATACTAATAAAAATTGAAATTGGTTATAAAGTATTGTTTTTTTATTAGCATGGTGTTATAAGGGAAAATCTATTTAAAAGACTCTCAACCATTTAACAACGAATGCTCAATACCTTTACAAATGTTCTATTCAAATTCTAAGATTTTTAGGAATAACAATCATTATTTTAATTACTGAACTTTTCTAATTATTTTAATTATTATTTTAATGTACTGTCTTAAATTTTCTAATGATTTTTTTTAATAATATTTACCTAAAAAAGGAAGGAAAATTTTACTCTCGAAGAATATTAAACCTATTTTGAAAATTTGTAATCATCTATTCTATAAATTGTCAATATTTTCTAATAATTTTTTGCACCTAATACAAATGGCTGTGAATATTGACACACAGATAATATATGAATATACAAATATTTCAAAATTTATTTAATACATGAATCATATATGTTCGTCATAGGGCGTAAATATAACACGAAAAATATGGCTACAAATATAATATGATACTAAATACGAAAAGGAAATACAAATTTATACGAACGATCACGTGACCGGTTGGGTCGGATTGAATTTTTTATTGACTCGACTTTGATTTGAATGTTATATTTTGATTTGACATTCAATCTGATTTGAATTTAAGGAAGTTACATCCAATCTAAAATCAGCTCGAGTTATGAGGCTAAAAATTTGCATTGTCAATTTAACACAAATATATACAAAATGCTTTTATTAAATAAAATAAGAATCTAATTAAAAAAATATAGAGAGGGGCGTTACAAGAATGATCCCTAAGTTCAAATTTGACTCAATTCGACCTCGTCATCTACAAAACTCAACTTGAATCAAACTAATTCAAAAAAAATGATCCTATAAGATCAAATTGGATCGAAACTCATCATATTTGAGCAGTGATGTATCAAAAAATAATTTATAAGGTGGGCACATATATGCTAACAACACAATTTTTGAATGAGATGAGCACAAATAAAATTTTATGGTAGACATTATCAATAAAATAAAGAACTAACCGAAGAAAAATCGAATTTTGGACATGTGTCGACCCTCAACTATATGGTGACTCTGGCGTTGAATTCGGGTAAAATCAACATCCCTTCAAATATATCATATATTATTATTTTAACAAAAGTTATATACATTCCTAAGAAAGAAAAAGTAATTTAGATATGAGTATAATTTAAAACAAAAACAAATATACGAATCGATTCCGGTATCGTTAGAATTTTTCTCTTGCGATTTTAGACATTGTAATCGTGCACAGTTGAATTCTTTAAAAATCTACTAAAAAAATATTGAGATAAATAATATTTGTGATCAAAGGAATTTGAGATATTTTAGGATTGTATTTTAAAGGAAGAAATCAGATTAAACATTGATTTGTATTATAATAATAATAAACCGTGTACTAGACGAATAACAGTTCTCATAAATTTAATATTTGTTTATAGTATTTAATTAAACATCTATTTGTATAAATAACCTATCCTCCTCGTCTCTAAAAATTCCTTTAGTTACCTGTTTTTCAAGAAATATCTCTTAGCTCCCTGTTCTAGAGAGAATCGGCCATGGATGAGAAATCCGCGATGTTTGCAGTTGAAGGCGAAGGATGTGAAGAAGATGTTCTGAAGTGGTACTACCATGGAGGTTCGGGTCGACCGAAGAACTCGGGTGAACTTACCTTGAAAGTAAGATCATATCTTTCGTCTAAGGGATGGGTTTTCCGGTATGCCCTCAAAGACGGTAAACAACTTCGATATCAATCGCCCCATGGACAAGTTTACAACTCATTGAGACTCGCTTGCAAAAGTTATATCGATCAAGGGTCGAGAGAGCCAAGGATGGGAAGCTTGGAGCCCAAGCAATCTAAGAAACGAAAGTGTTCGAGCCCGGAGAATCAGCCATTGCCGGAATCTGTTCAATCCGAGTTGCGGAAAAGAGGAAAAACACTGAAGATAAAAGAGGCTCCGATTGTAAAATCTAGTAAAAGAGTGCGGGAGGGTCCAGTTCCTAGGCGTAGCCCTCGAACTGTTCTGCCTTTGTTGATAGATAATAATGTTGTTCCGATGTTGGGAAAGGTGTATTATCGCACTAAGACAGGGGATCCGTTGATGAAAGGCCGGATCACTCGTGATGGGATTCGATGCGACTGTTGTTCAAAGGTTTTCTCTCTCACTGCCTTTGAAGATCATGCTGGAAGTACGAATCACAGGCCAGCGGCTAACATAATCTTGGACGATGGCACCGGCAGGTCACTTTCTGATTGTCAAAGACAAGTTTGTGATCCAAAGAAGAGCACAACTACCGCACCAAGAACTCGTCCTATTGTAGAGAGCCCTAAAACAGTGAAGGCCGCTGACGATTTATTTCGAAACGAGAACGATGAAGTTTGCTCTGCTTGCTACAATGGAGGAGATTTGATTTGCTGTGATTACTGCCCTTCAACTTTCCATATGAAATGCCTTGGCTTAAAGGAAGTCCCCAATGGCCCCTGGTTTTGCCCGTCTTGCTGCTGTGGAATATGTGGCATCGGATATTCAAGGGACAAAAATTTAGTTACTTGTCACCAATGTGAGCTTAAATTCCATGTTGATTGCTTGGAGTTGAAGAAACCAAGCGAGAAGAAGACAAAGGAGAACGTGGTATTACTATGTAGCCAGAACTGTGAAAAGATCTTCTATGGCCTGCAAAAACTTACAGGGAAGCCAATTCCAGTGGGGAACGATCTGTCTTGGACATTGCTGAAATCCGATTATCGAGCTCATGGGCATAGCATGAAGTCATCTCAGAGTAAGTTGAGAGGTGCAGTTGAAGTGATGCATGAATGTTTCGAGCCAAGCGAAGCTGTAGGGACGGGGAGAGACGTAGTTGAAGAAGTGATATTCGGCCGACCCTCTAAGCTGAAACGATTGAACTTCAGAGGATTCTATACAATGATTCTGGAGGACAATGATGATTTGGTTTCAGTGGCCACTCTGAGGGTACATGGTAACAAGGTGGCTGAAATGCCCCTTGTTGCCACCAGGTTCGGACACCGCCGCCGTGGAATGTGCCGAGTTTTGATGGATGAACTTGAGAAGAATCTGGTGAAATTAGGGGTGGAGATGCTGGTTTTACCTGCAGTGCCTACCACATTCGAGACGTGGACTAATAACTTCGGGTTTTCGCTCATGCCATGTGTCGAAAGAGCAAAGCTTCTTCCGTATAATTTACTAGACTTCCAGGGCACCATAATTTGCCAGAAACTCTTGAGATAGAATAGAAGCATTACTTGGTATTCACTAGAATGAATGTAACAGAAGGATTTTTCTCCAATTGTTTAAACAATGGTATTTGTTTTCAAAGTTGTCCACATTGCGTATGTATGTGTATGTATGTATGTATGTATGTATGTATGTATGTATGTATGCATGTTAAGGTTAAAGACCTGCATGACATCTTTAACGTTCTGGTCTTTCATTGTCCGGTATGCGAAGTCAAACATTCGGTTTCCTTCTTCAAGGACCGCTTTCAAAAGCCTTAATGATCTTAACTGAGCTATCTCTCGAAACATCCATGGAATTGATATGTTTTACCACTACCCACTTATGTGTAACACAAAAATATGTTAATTGCTTCATGAAATTATGCTGTTTTCTTTCATATATAGAAGCTAATATTATTTTACCCAAATCTGCTGCCGGCATGACCAGTAAGTTTGGAAGTGAGAAGTAAAATAGGAGACCATAATTATTTAGTAAACATTATAAAGTCATTGTTTGTCATTATAATCGTGAAGATTTGGAACGCCCTGGATCTCGGGTTAGTAGTTTGGGTTAACCCGAAGCTTAAAGTTGAGCATAATTGGACCTTATAAAATAGTTAGACCCAGTTTAGTATTTTGGGCTTGAGTTGGGCCTAAGAGTTAGTTGGTAAAAGTTGAATGTCTTATGAATTAGAAAATAAAGGGACTAAAAGTGTAATTTACCCAATTCTTAATTCAAAAGATGAAAACTCTCCTATTTTATGAGATATACGGGACAACTCCCCATTTTCCCCACCAAACACTCATCTTCTTCTTCCTCGTGAAGATTTGGAACGCCCTGGATCTCGGGTTAGTAGTTTGGGTTAACCCAAGCTTAAAGTTGTGAGCTTAATTGGACCTTATAAAATAGTTAGACCCAGTTTAGTATTTTGGGCTTGAGTTGGGCCTAAGAGTTAGTTGGTAAAAGTTGAATGTCTTATGAATTAGAAAATAAAGGGACTAAAAGTGTAATTTACCCAATTCTTAATCCAAAAGATGAAAACTCTCCTATTTTATGAGATATACGGGACAACTCCCCATTTTTCCCACCAAACACTCATCTTCTTCTTCCGTTTTTTCTCTTTTCTTCTCCTCATCTTCAAGTTTAAGGATTTAGGACTTCAAGTTTAGTTTGGGTCAAGCAAAGGTAAGATTATTAACCTTCAAGCTCCATTTCACTAGTTTTTATCCATAAAGAAAAAAAAAGTTTTTAGAGGGTTATGAGAATCTATAGATTCTAGCTATGTTTTGGATTATAAGGAGTTATTTAGAATGTATTCAACCTATGGATGGATTAGTAATCCATTTTCTTACCATGTTTAGTGAAGAAATTGGGAGAGAGATCCAAATCAAAAGGAAAAGAAAAGTTGAGCATTGGTTGAGTTGAGGAGAGTTATAGCCACCAAAGAAGCAAAGTAACACCTTTCCAACTCTTCTATACTCTTAGCGAGTCTTTAGAAGTTCAAAATAGTTTAAATGGCTGAGTTGAGCATGATAAACATTTTCACGGTGAAATTCTTGTTTTAGAGTTATAAATGTGTTTAAGGTCTCTATTATGACCCTTGTTGATTCAATAGAACTTTAAGCATGGTTGGGGACCTCACTAAGGTCTTTGGGTTTGAAATATAGTTTTTAAGGGAATTAGACTCGATGTACCCCCAACACTTCATTTTATCATCAAATAAGACTGCAAATGAGAATATTAATGATATTAATTACACTTAGAAACAATATTTATTAGGATGACATAAAAATAGCATTGGATAATACTCGAGAAACGATCAGGACAACTGAGTTCCTTTAGAAAATGCTAACATTATCGAAAGTATAGATTCAGTCCAGATATATCCTTAGGTAGGGTCAAGGCCCTTCTAACTATGTTTTTCGAGGCCTTAACACTCTTTAGAAGAAAGTGTGGGTTAGTCAGGGGTATGGTTTTTGATGCAGAGAATTTCGGGGCCATATACATGGTAGACTAGAAGGGTGTGTGAGCTCCGAGATGCAGAACCCTCAGCCACACCATGATGTCTACCATAGCGTAGAGAGTAATACTCACTAAAGTTGTTTTAAAATAGACTAGCTTGGGCGCAAGGTCCAAACTCAAGGAGTGGGCTAGTAGACCAGAAAAATTAGTAGAACATATAGCAGTGGACTTGATAGCTTGAGCATGTCATGAACACTTTAAGTATGGCTTAGTTGTTAGTGTGGCACTGGGCTAGTTAGCTCAGTGTTTGGAATTTATTTCCTTCTGTAGGTTAGACGAGGAGCAGTCCGAGGACTTTTTGGGACCAACAGTGATCCAGACCCAGTAGTGCAGAGTACTTATAGAGGGCATATATACATGTGAACCCCTTTGTATATTTTTGTTTGGGTCATTTTTTAGCGATGGTCTGTATGATTTCAAATAATATTTTTGGGAGCTCCTGATGTAATCATTTTATTTAAATTTTGGTTGATCCATTTTAGCGTGATTGATTACAATGGTCATTTTTAAAACGGAAAAATTTACAAGAAAATTTTGGTTAACCACTCCGGTGGTTTCATGTAGCATTTTGATCGGTCGACTGTGTGTCGTACTGGTTTAGGGAGTTACAAGATTCATTCTATTTGCATATAAATTCCATAAATGAGGAGGTTATCTAGTTGATGCATTGAGTGAGCTCTAAAACTAAGTTACTTAAGTTTAACGTCATATCTATTCTTATGAATATATTCAATAATTTAGTTATAATATCATAACGATTATCATCAAACAAAATAAAAACATGATCGAAAACAAAGAACACCAAAATTTATGTGAAAACCCCAAAAGGAAAAAACCACGGGCAGAGGAGAATGGTTTTAGTAATATGAAGGAAGAAAATATAAGAGTATTTTGGTGAAAGAAAAACTTTGATATCTAATCGTTTAACCTTTGTATCTATTTATGGGATAAATACTTGATTACAAAGGAAAACTAAATAAAGTATAAATATATTTTAGTAAAGTTATCTACTTTTAATCAAACTATGATTCTTACTTTCCCAAATTTAAATATTAATTAATTTGTGTCACTTTAAATTTATGTCAAACTCTAACAAATCTCCACCTTGACGTGAATTCTGAAAGTGCAAAGGTTTCAAGATAAAACACCAAAATTTGATGAGGCACCCAAACTCAACAAAAAAATCTTCACTTCAAAGAAAAAGTTCTCCACCTCTTCCACAACACCCCTCAAAGGGGTAATCTTCAGTAATGGATACTGACTGAATCCAAGCTTTTTCTAAGTTTAGATTTAGTCTTCAGATCGACATGGTTATCATAAGTGTCAATTTTGCTCACAAATGTTTCAACACGAGCAATATTAAGCACAACACAATCCCGATCATCAATGATAATTCTATCTTCAAATTCGTTATGCCCACGAAATTGAACTCTTTTCTGCTTCACATAACCATTCTACCCACGGTAATCTTGTTCAATAACAAATCTTGTTTTGCTTAATTTAGTCAAGATGTTTTTACCAGTAACATCGTTGTTTGACATGGGAGGAAACATCAGTTACATTATCTAAAACTGTTGAACATTGAAGAACATAAAACTTGACATTCTTTTTTTGCCTTTTCATCACAACAAGAGAGACTTTGAAAATTTTAATAGCTCCACCTTCACTGTAGAATTTGTACCCATTTGAATCTAATGTCTCTAAAGTAATTAGATTTCTACTCAAATCTGGAAGACGTCTCACATTTCCAAGTGTTTGAACAATCCCATCAAATATCCTAATCTTGATTGTGCCAATACATGTAACTTTACAAGAGACATTATTTCCCAAAAATATATCACTTGTAGATACAACTTTATATGTCGTAAACTAGTCACGATTAGGACTCATATAAAAACTGCTATTAGAGTCAAGTATTCACTCATCACTTGTTTATAGAGTTGTTAGTCGTAACTGGGAGTTCTTTGTCATCTCATTTCTCTGCTACACCGACCTCACCAAAATTTTCAAAAGTTTTGCTCTTCAGTTTATCTCTTAATTTTATTATGTAACTTGTAAAACTTCGATTTAACATGACCTTTCTTTTTACAAAAGTGGCAGGTTTTACCTAGATTGAAAGATTTTGATCTGCCCCTTCTTATACTACCAGAAGAACACTCACCTTTTCTTTCATGGTCTGAGCTAGTCGATCCATGCACCACGATACCTTATACATGGGACTTGAAACCAGATACAAGATGTTTCATCTTGTCAAATGAGTGTAGGCCATTGTACACTTCTTCAAGTGTAAGTATTTCACGACTGTACAGGATTGTATATCTAAAAGATGAGTAGGAAGGAGGCAGTGAACATAGGAGGATCAATCCTATGTCTTTATGGTCATACTTCACTTCTAAAGTCTCTTGATCAGAGACAGTTTCCTTGAATGTGGTTAGGTGCTATTAAAGAAACGAACTATCCACCAACTTGAGCGAATAAAGACGTCGCTTTAATTGCAACTTGTTGGTTAACACTTCTACATGCATAGTTGCTCCAATTTCGCCCACAAAGAAGCAACTGTTTTTTTCTTTCAACACATCCTGTAAAATTTGATTTGATAAGTGTAAACAAATCTGAGAAAGGGTTTTACAATGCTTACGTTTTTCCTTATTCGTCCATTGTGTTGATGGATTCTCATTAAATCCTTCTATTACATCTTCGAGATCTAATTGTGCAAAAACATCCCGAATCTTCACTTGCCACAACGAGAATCTGGTGTTATGATCTAACAGTGAAATATAATACTTTATTGTTGCCATAATATTGAATCAGAATTTCTGATACCAATTTGTTATAATATCGAACAATTATCCGCAAACAAATAAATATGATCGAAAATAAAGAACACCAAGACTTACATGGAAAAACCACGAGCAGAGAAGACGAATTTCGCTAATATGAAAAAGGAAAATATAAGAGGGTTTTGACAAAAGAAAATTTTGATATCTAAC